GGCAAATTATCAAATCGCCCGAAATAAGAGAGCCACCGAGAAAGACACAGTAAGCAAACAGCGAGCATCGATCAGAGGGATCACTAGCCCAGGGTAGCATCAGAGTAGGCCTGGAGCTGAAGAGAGCTGGAGCGGGGAAAGAAAAGGCGCTGAGAGATCGTGCCACGAAGATATCGTAGAACACGGAGGAGGTGACTATAATGGACAGAGGTGGGAGCTGAGACAAACTGACTCAGGATGTGGACAGGATAGGAGATGTCAGGACGCGTAATAGCAAGATAGACAAGGCTGCCAACGAGGTGACGATAGCGAGTGGGATTAGGAAGAGGGTCACCATCAGAGGCACAAAGCTGAACGTTGAGCTCCATAGGAGTCACAACAGTGCGCTCATCACTGAGAGCAGCGCGAGCAAGAAGATCCTGAATGTATTTTTCTGGGGAGATGTAGAAGCCATCAGAGGTCGAGGAGATCTCAATTCCAAGAAAATAGCGAAGCGGACCAAGATCAGTCATGAGGAACTGGTTGCGAAGGCGAGCCTTAACAAAGGCAATGTAGTCAGAGTCGTCACCAGTGATGATCATGTCATCCACATAAAGAAGGAGAAGAGTCCGGCCATGAGGAGACGTGTGAACAAACAGCGCGGGATCATGGTCACTGGGCAAGAAACCAGCGGCAGTCACCACAGAGGCGAAGCGCTCAAACCAGGGGCCTGTTTAAGACCATAGAGGGAGCGGCGAAGTCTACATACCATACCATCAGGAGCGTAGTACCCTGGTGGTGGCTACATATAGACCTCCTCACGCAACTCGCCGTTGAGAAAGGCGTTCTGAACATCAAGTTGAGAGATAGACCAATGACGAACAGAGGCCACGGCAAGAAGAGTGCGAACAGTGGTCATGTGAGCCACATGAGCGAATGTCTCATCATAATCGCGTCCCTACTCCTGTTGAAAACCACGAGCCACAAGACGCGCTTTGTAGCGCTCAAGAGAACCATCAGAGCGAGTCTTAATCTTGTAGACCCACTTGCAGGTGATGGGATGAACACCGGAAGGAAGCAAAACCAGATCCTATGTGCCAGAGCGCTCAAGGGCAGCAAGCTCTTCGGCCATCGCAAGCTGCCATTCAGGCTGAGTCATGGCAGTTTGATAGAAAGTGGGCTCAGCAATAACAGAGAGACCATATCGATCAGGAGAATAGTGATCAGGCGGGGGTGAGGCCGAGCACGGAGGTTATGAACTGGGGGAGGCATGACGGGAGGAGCACCAGAGGTGGAAGGCGCGTCAGTAGAAGCATCCTCAGAACAAGGGCGACGAGTATAGTGGAGAGGAAACGGTGAGAGAGGGTGACAGACTGGAGATGATGGTGGAGAGGTGGAGGAGTAGGATGGGGAAGATGGTGTCGGTGGTGAATGAGAAGGAATGAGAGGGGAAGGAGTAGGAAGAGGTGAAACATGAGGCACATGGTGAGGTGTATCGGGGAGAAGAAGAAAAGAAATATCGTCCACAAAGAAGCTTGAGGAAGAAGGACCTGGGTAGTAAGGGCGAGACTCGTCAAAGGTCACATCACGCGAGATGCGCAAGCGACGTCCAACAGGATCCCAACAGCGATAGCCCTTGTGCTCATCACTGTAGCCAAGGAAAACACACTCAACCGACTGAGCAGTCAGTTTGGTGCGTTCTCGCGGGGCAAGAAGGACATAGCACACACATTCAAACATACGAAAGGCGGAGTAGTCAGGAGAACGACCAGTGAGATACTCCATAGGAATACCACCTTGTAGGGCAGTCGATGGCTGAATGCTGATGAGGTAGGTGGACGTAGAAACAGCCTCAGCCCAAAAATATGGGGGAAGGGAAGCGGCGATCATCAGTGCATGAGCCGTCTCAAGCAAATGATGATGCTTACGTTCTGCAACGCCATTATGAGCATGAGCACCAGGACAAGAGCACTGGGCAAGAGTACCCTGTTCCGGGAGAAAACCACGCAACAGTTGGGAGATAAACTCTCCAGCGGAGTCAGCACAAAAAGTGCGAATATGCGTGGAAAAGTGGGTGTGAACCATGGCAGCAAAACATTTGTATATAGGGAGAACCTCGCTACGAGATTTCATGAAGTAGAGCCAAGTGTAGCGAGAGAAATCATCAATAAAAAAAACATAGTAGCGATGGCCACCTTTCAAATCAAAGGGAGCAGGACCCCAGACATGAGAATGAACTAAGTCAAAAGGACGCTGAGATACCGACTCACTGGTAGGATAAGGTAACTTGGTCTGTTTGCCAAGTCTGCAACCATTACAATGTAAGGAGACATCTCCAGATACAGACCCTAAAAGGCCCTGACGAACTAAAGAAGACAAGCGAGAGCCACAGATGTGACCAAGGCGATGATGCCACTGCTGGAAGGACGCAAACGAAGAGGCAGCAAGAGCATGAGAGCTTGCAGAAGTGGTGACAGCGGAAGGAACACAAAGCCAGTCAACCTCCCAAAGATCCGCTGACTCACGGCGCCGGGGGCCAGCACCAACCAAAGCCTTGGTGCGACGATCCTGAATGGAGCAAGAGTCGGTATCAAGAATGACACGATAACCAGAATCAGTAAGTTGAGCAGCAGAAAAAAGATTCATGGTAAGACGAGGAACATGTGAAATGCTCGGGACAGAAAAGGACGGAGTGAAAAGAATACCACGACTAGCAACAGGAAGAGATGTGCCATCGGCAGTAAGGACATTAATAGAAGAATCAAGAGGGCGAAGAGAGGACAAAGCTGAAGAATCAGAGGACATATGAAAGGAAGCTCCAGAGTCCAAAACCCACGAAGATGTACCTGACGGTGTAGATGCTGGCGGTGTGGTGGAAGCAGTCACAGCAGCAGCAGAACCCGTCGATGAAGAACCAGAGCAAGCAAGCAAATGCTTGAGCCGTACAATGTCCTCGTTAGTGAGTGACGGAGTCAAGGAAGACGCAGGAGTCCCACTGGAAGAGGAGCGCCTCTGGTCATGCTTCTTTTGGCGACAATCAGATTCCGGGGTGACCTGACCTGGAGTAGTATCCATAGAAGGTGTCATGACGCGACGTGCCCTTCTCAGCATAAGGAGGGTGACCCATGTGATAGCCTGGCTTCTTAGGGATGATAGACTACTCATATCAATAAGGAATTCCTTCTTTTCCGGGAGCCCATTCGGACAGAACTCTAAAGTTAAGCGTGCTCAGCTTGAAGTAATGTGAGGATGGGTGACCGACCGGGAAGTTGCTCCCGGGTGCGCACGAGTGAGGACAAAGTGCGCAGAAAAGACTAGTATTGATCTGTGGGGCCAGTCTAGATCCCGCTAGGAGTAACAACCACCGGCGGGTGTGTCCGGGGCGTTACAAGTTGGTATCAGAGTCGACCCTCGCGGTTACACGGATGGTTGCGGACAGGTGCGTGGTCATGTTGTTCATGACGTTTGTGACCCGTCGTGGCACCCGACATGACACATGTACTGGACTGGAAGCACAGACGTATGTTCCAAGAGGGAGCGTTCCTGTGACCCAACGAGGATGTCGGTTCCTCTGAGTGGGGGTGTATGTGATAGCCTGGCTTATTAGGGATGATAGACTACTCATTTCAATAAGGAATTCCTTCTTTTCCGGGAGCCCATTCGGACAGAACTCCAAAGTTAAGCGTGCTCAGCTTGAAGTAGTGTGAGGATGGGTGACCGACCGGGAAATTGCTCCCGGGTGCGCATGAGTGAGGACAAAGTGCGCAGAAAAGACTAGTATTGATCTGTGGGGCCAGTCTAGATCCCACCAGGAGTAACAACCACCGGCGGGTGTGTCCGGGGTGTTACAACCCACCCCCTGAAGGAGTAGGCAGGAGCGGTGGAGCAGTAAGACGAGCAGACGCCACAGGAACTCTAGCAGCCAACACTGACGGAGCAGCAAGTAACCCAGCAGAGCGA